ATTAAAACTACATGGTATCTCGCATAAAAAAAATGGGTGAGGATTAGTAGAAAATGAAGTCAGTGAGATAATAATGAGGCTAAGTTGTGGGGGCCTTAAATGCTATGATGAAGAGGTGGTATTTTATTCTGAAGGTGTTCCTCAATGYTTTTCTTCCTGTAACATTTATTTGCCATTTTAGTCCTCGTATTAACATCAGTCATTATGTGCAGCAATTCTCAAACTGGGGCACATCTAGGAAGGAGTTAGGGCATTTCCTACTTGCAGTTATTAATTACTGTGGTAGACAATGGGAAGCCATTGAAATTTTCGACTYGAGAACTGACATATGAAGGTGATCTTTTAGGAGGGTCAGGCTGTCAGTGGTATGCCTGAGAGATCTGAAGAATAGTGGTGCCATTGAGGGACTGGGAAAATCATGGGTGGGGCTCAATTAAATCTAATCTTGGGCATATAAAGGAATGGTTTTCTTTGCTTCAAACACAAATCCACCAGTATTTGCACTCTGGAATGAAAATCATTTCTGGGGTGGGGGTGGGGATTGCATATGTTTCTCATCTATGTTTCTTCTGACTTTTGCCTTCTATTTGGGGTTTTCTTGCTGTGATTTCTATTGTAAAAGTAACCTAGTTACCAGGGGCCATCATCTTTTCTTTTTGGCCCCCAAAATGGATAAAAGTCCACTTTATTTTCCTTTTACAAGATTTTATAAGGGCCTATATATTTTTTTTTTAGTTGTAGATGCACAAATACCTTTATTTTGTTTATTTATTTTTATGTGGGGATGAGGATCAAACCCAGGGCCCTGCATGTGCTAGGCAAGCGCTCCAACACTGAGCCACAACCTCAGCCCAGGGCCTATACTTTTAACAGAAAATATATTACAATTTTGAGGGGAAATAAAAAGGAAATCAATATTAAAAATAAAAATGGGACAAAATTACTCACTTCCAAAGGATAARTTTCTAATTTTAAGAATCCCAATAGTGAAGGGCAATCTCATATGCCAAACTTTTTATCCTAAGACACTCAAAACTAGATATTTAAAACTGAGATGGCTTCAGCAGCCAGGGATATATGACAATATGTATATTGGGTCAGATATAAAACAATAGGGAGTTGTAGGGACCTGTAAGAAGTGAAATCTCAAGTACTTCTGTGTCTGATCCAGATAGGCTAGCACAATTTAATAGACACTCATGGGGGGATTGTGTGTCTTACTGCATTCAGAGGAAGTTACCAACTCTCCTAAAATTAAAACTTTTTTTTTTTTTAAGAGAGAGAGAGAGAGAGAGAATTTTTAAATATTTATTTATTTTTTTAGTTCTCGGCAGACACAACATCTTTGTTTGTATGTGGTGCTAAGGATCAAACCTGGGCTGCACGCATGCCAGGCGAGCGCGCTACCGCTTGAGCCACATCCCCAGCCCCTTTTTTTCTGTTTACCTCCACCAAATACACTGTTAGTCTCTCATTTAATTTTAATCTCCTGATTGAGATATCTGTTTAGGCCATCAAGATTGATGTCTTATTTTTGACAAATATCTGTAGAAACTCTCATCAGATGGCCTTGTTGATCTATAAGGTTTGTTTATAGGCCTAACCTATAAGCTTCTTCATGTACCCCCAGAGCATTTTTTTTTAACAAAGTCAACCTTTTTTAAAATTTATTTTTTAATTACAGATGGACACAATACCTTTATATATTTTTACGTGGTGCTGAGGATCGAACTCAGTACCTCACACATGCAAGACCAGCGCTCTACCACTGAGCCACAACCCCAGCCCCCCCCATAGCATTTTTTTTTAAAGATTCACATAGTCGAGTCTCTCTATATTTTACCCTAACATGAGTTTCCTAAAAGTCCATTCATTACAATGTGACAATTTAACAATGCCTTAGCCTATAACTAGGGGAAAAAAAAAAACAATGACTTTTTTATAAAGATAATTAAAAAACAAAAGAACTTTCAGGGACTGGGGTTATGGCTTAATAGAGCACTCACCTAGCACGTGCAAAGAGCTGGGTTCGATCCTCAGCACCACATAAAAATAAATAAATAAAGTAAAGGTATTGTGCCCAACTACAACTAAAAAAGAATTTAAAAATAAAAGTAATACAAAAGAACTTTTCATATTTATGCTGAATTTAAATTGTTTATAGGACATACAATTGAGAATGCTCAGGAAAGAGTAGAAAAAAATAAGGTTGAAGCTTAAGTTGAAAAAAGGCCCTATAGAGGGCTAGGGATGTGGCTCAAGCAGTAGTGTGCTCGCCTGGCATGCACCGGGCTCTGGGTTCGATTCTCAGCATCACATAAAAATAAAATAAAGATATTGTGTCCACCTAAAACTAAAAAATAAATATTAAAAAAAAGAAAAGAAAAAAGGCCCTATAGAAACAGATTTGGGAATCTTCTGGCCAAAGAGCAATATCTGAAGCCATGAGAATAGATACATGTTTTTCTGGGAAGAGCTTGGAGAAAGAAAAGGAAAAAACCAAAACAAAACAAAACAAAGACCCATAAGTTGAGATTTGGGGAACCATTCTGATTGGAAGAAATAATAAGTAGGAGTCAGTAAGGGAAATGTGAGAACAATCAGGAGTGTGTAGTGATTAGCCAAGAAAGGGAAACTAACCAACATTAAGTTCATAGTGTGTGTGTGCTAGTCACCATGTTAGGTGTTGTATATAAGTTATACTTTTTAATCCTTACAATAACCCTAGGAGCAGGTAAGATTATCTTCATTTTAAAGATAAACAAGCTGGGCACAGTGGTGCATGCCTGTAATCCCAGCAGTTTGGGAAGCTGAGGCAGGAAGATCACAAGTTCAAAACCAGCCTCAGCAAAAGCGAGGTACTAAGCAACTCAGTGAGACCCTAAATAAAATACAAAATAGGGCTGAGGATGTGGGTTAGTGGTCGAGTGCCTGAGTTCAATCCCTGGTACACYACTCCCCCCAACCAAAAAAGAATTTAAAGATAAACAAGCAGAGACTCAGGGATGAAGTAATTGGCTTAGGGTCAGTCAGCTGATTTATTCATACTTGTCTTGATTCAAATCCTGTGCACTTCACATCATCAGGGATGGTGATCTGAAGTGCCATGTGCACAAGCAAGATCAAAGAGAATGGGCAGTTGATAGGAAAGATCACCAGGCAGTTMGTGATCTTGAGCAGTCTCTGTGATTGCAGGCAGTTAAAGAAGAACAATGGATAAGGCAATGGAGACAATGAATGGAGAACTCTCCTCAGAGAAGTTGCACAACATAAAGGAAATGAGAGACAACTGGAAAGCCAGTGGCTTAGGCAAAATAAAATTTTAAGGCACATATGGATTTGAAGGCCAAAGAGTAGCCAGTGGATGAGAAGGCGGGAAAAGGGCCAGTAGGAGAGCAAGGATCTATAGGGCTGAGCTAAGGGAAAGAATTTCATTCTTCCTCTGGGATTTATGGATGGTTTGAAAGGATGGGCAATAGTTTGAAGATGGATAACTGGATTTCTGCATACTTCCAGCCTTTCCCCGCACCCTCAACCCCCYGCCCAGGAATTGTAACATTTTTATCCAGTGATTTTAAAGTCCTTTCCAGGGGCATTCAATTTCCCTTACTTAAAGAGAGACATGCACAAGAGGTTCATGAGTTTTATCCCCACCCCACCCCCAAAAATGGGGAGGGAGCACAAATGATACATGATTTTTCTGTTATGACAGAAATCATGAAACGAACAGGAGTAAAAACACAAGCTATATTTCTTTCTTCTTCTGAACTCCTACAATGCTTTGTATCTTTCCTATGTCACTTTTGCCTTGTAAGAATTTCTAGACTTATTTTCCATTAGTTTTTATAGTTCTCAGGGAAGGATGGATTTGCTCATTTGTTTCCTTTTTCTTGCTTTTTTTTCTTTTTTTCCATGGACTCAGTGAGACTCTATCACTGAGCTACTGCATCCCCCCAGTCCACCCTCCTTTTAAAATTTTATATTAAGATATAGTCTTATTAAGTTGTCCAGGCTGTCCTTGAACTTGCAATCCTGCTGCTTCAAATCCTGAATAACTGGGATCATAGTTTTGCACCACTGCATCTGGTGGTTTTCTTTTCTGAACCCACTGCAGTGCCTTATAGATAGAAGTACACAATCAGTCGTAGTAACTTAAACTTAAAAATAACTTCACATTTTATTTTGCCTGGCATTCAGGGATTCTCTCACATTGGTGCATATTGTCTCTAATTATAGAAATGGAAAAAGAAAATGAAAGTATCAACGTACCTTTAAGTGTCACATGGTCTGTTGGCTTTATAAGTTTACCTGTATATCTCAAGACCTAAAGTAGTCTCTCTCATATCCTTCACTCATGGATGATGTTTATTTTGACTAGTGCGCCACATTGAAAAGAATGTTCTATAGAGACTGAGTCCTTTAGGTTGGCAGCTTAGCTGTCCAGGGTTTAGGGAATGAAACTGCAGGATTCATGGGCATCCTCATCTCCTTTTAGGGAATTTTCAAGGGAGAAATTGCCAGAAGGTCCAGAAAGAGTATTTTTAATTCTGTGTGGAAGATCTATTTGCTTTTCTATTTAGAAGTTTAAACTCTATGTGGACAGTACTTATTAGACACCATTGAAAATATTATAAAAAATAGTTTCTGTTTAGAAGTTTAAACTCTATGTGGACAGAACTTATTAGACACCATTGAAAAGTTAAAACATTTTTTTTTGCCCTTAAAAGATGGACTTTTGAGGGAGATTAGACCACTAGAATTTAAATATCTATAAGAATATTCTTGCCGGGCATGGTGGCACTCGCCGTAATCTTTCAATGGGGGAGGCTAAGGCAGAAGGATGGCAGGTTCAAAGCCAGCCTCAGCAATTTAGCAAGGCCCTAAGCAACTTAGCGTGACTCTGTCTCAAAATAAAGCATAAAAAGGGCTGGGGATGTAGCTCAGTGGTTAAGTACCCCTGGGTTCAATCCCTGATATCTAAAGAATATTCTTTTTTTTTTTTTAATATGGAACACTTCATGAATTTATGTGCCATCCTTGTGCAGGAGCCATCCTACTCTCTCTGTATCATTCCAATTTTAGTATATGTCTGCCAACGCAAGCATAAGAAGAATATCCTAAATACTGTGTGTGTGTGTGTGTGTGTGTGTGTGTGTGTGTGTCTGTCTGTCTGTCTGTCTGTCTGTCTGTCCCGGGAGAGGAAGAAGAAACAGACTCATTGGATGGGATCTGGGATTCATACCAGGATACTTAGGATAAGGTATTGCTGGAAGAGGTGAGTCTTGAGCTAAGAGTTTGGAGGATTTTGTGTGGTGAATGGCTGTCAATGGAAAAGTCACAACTAGGTATTTTATACAGTTATGCTTTGGGACTCTCCATAGGTGTAGTGGTTTGAGGGAATCCTTCAAAAGCTCTTTGGCTTCTGTTAGTCTTATGCTTAAAGCTTGAACAATTCTAATAAAAATTAAATCTGGTCTAAAAAATAAAGTTTGAGCAATTCTGATGCTATACATTGTCCTCTTAGACTATTTTATTCTGAAGAATCCCTTCAGAGTGATGTGGGTAAAACTAGGAAAGTGATGATACCTTGAGATGGTAGCATGATAATATAGCTTGGTTTGAAAAAGGAGCAGCTGGTGGAAGCTGCAGGATTTTGGGGGCAGAGCAAAGTGAAATTGCTGAATTTAGTGAGGTCATAAGGAAATGTCAGCCTCAAGCAGAGTATTCCTCCAGTGTAGGCTAACCATTCATACTGAAGTAAGTGACAATAAATCTAAGATTGATGGAATTAGCTATGTACAGAAGTAACTCATTGAGTGGCACATTGTGTGTGTGTGTGTGTGTGTGTGTGTGTGTGTGTCTTACAAATCTCAAGGGTCTAGGCAAATACCTCAATGAGGGAAATTGTGACATCTAAAATATCTCATACAGAACTTTACAGTCATAGAATTTTATGAGCTGTATGAGACTTTTAGTTTAAAGATTTATCAAGCCAATTTGTTTTACTTATGAGGGAATGAAGGTCTACAAAGGTAAGAGAACTGTAGTGTAGACAAACAGTTTTAGAAGTTAGCAGCAGGGCCCAGGGCTTTGAACTTTGGATCCAGCATATTTCTGTCATGTCCTACTGCCTTGCCGAATGTTACATGGCTACGCTTGAACTTTATGTGGGAGGTAGGCAGGTCTGAGACCAAGGTGTATGCAATGTTAAGGCCTAACATAATTAAAAGAGGAAGTGATCCAAGGCTAGAGAACCTGCCCTAAGTACTGCCTCCTCTCCTAATCCACTTGTGTACCTCTCTGCACTTATAAGCAATTTAAAAAAATTATTGTGTATTAATTCATGATTTCTGAGGAATACATTAACAGAGGAACAATAACAAATTTTTAATGTGTCTAGAATATCCCAAAGTAATGATGTAGGAAAACAAGATACTTAAGATACTTGTCCACCTTGTACAGTGTACACAAACTCTCCATACAAACATTTGTCTTTTTTTTTTCACCCTTTTTCTGTGTTTAACAAATAGTGCTAATGTGTTTATTTAACTTCCCTGGAAAAAGCAGCTAAAGATATTTCAGGCTGGATGTGGTGGCACACACCTGTAATCCCAGCTGCTGGGTAAACTGAGACAGGAGGATTACAAGTTTGAGGCCAGCCTGGGTGACTTAGTGAGACCCTGTCTCAAAATAAACTAAAAAGGGCTGGGGGTGTGGATCAATGGTAGAGTGTTTGCCTAGCATGTACAAGGCCCTGGGTTCCATCCTTATTACTGAAAAAAAAAAAAAAAAGATATTTCAGTCACTGGAAGGGCATAACCCCCCACATTGTAAGGGAATTGAACCCAGAGATGCTCTAATACTGAGCTACATCCCCAGCCCTTTTATTTATTTTTAAATTTTGAGACAGGATCTCAATAAATTGCTCAGGCTGGCCTTGAACTTATGATCCTGCTGCCTCAGCCCTCCTGAGTTGCTGGGATTTTAGGCACCCTGCCTCTCATGATTTTTAGTAGGTATCACTCACTTCTCTAGAGTCTGATCATCCTTAAATAAACTAATGAAAACCAAGTTAGACACACTAGGCCTTAGGTGACCCCTATAGAGCATAGACTCCTCAAGAGAAGCTGCCTGAACAGCCAGGCAGAGTCTTTCAATTCGTGTCTCTTTCCTTTCTCCCAAATGTATTTTCCTTCAAAGAGATGGGGTCTTACTCTGTTCCCTGGTCTGGCCTTTGAAATCCTGGGCTCAAAAAATCCCCCTGCCCCATCCTCCTGAGTAGTTGGGACTACAGGTGTGTGCTGCCATGCATGGCTCTCCCTGTATTTCTTTCTTTCTTTTTTTTTTTTTCAAAGATTTTTTTTAGTTGTAGTTGGACACAATATCTTTATTTTATTTTTATGTGGTGCTGAGGATTGAACCCAAGGCTTTGCATATGCTAGGCGCGCGCTCTACCACTGAGCCACAACCATAGCCCCTCTCCCTATATTTCTTATTGAAGGCACTATGTGCTAGAGCTCCCCTAACACATCTGAGAGTATTAATATGGGCTTAAAAGCATCACAGCAAGTATTTGGAGTTTGCTTACTGGATGCTGTGCCCTTTGTTCAGTGCACTAAGCAGATTTGACTCCAGACCTCCTTTCATCGAACTTAACACATATAGTAGGAAATCCTGCCTTCAGTGTTGGGGCTTTGCCTGCCTGGAGAAGCCCTTTGGGTTGTATGTAGGTGTAGAGGTTCCAACTTGGAGGTGATCTCTGAGCACTCTCTTAACTCACAGTTTCCTTTCTTTAATTTTATTGGCCAGAGAAAGAGAGAACTCTCCATGCCATTTTGGGAAATTTAGAAGAGAGGATTCCCCAGAGTTTGTTTGCCTCATCTAGAAAGCCCTAGTACCTCAGAGTCTGAGGATCTTCCTGCACTGACCTGTTCAGAATCACCTGTATGGACCAGTAATGACAAACAGACTGAGAGCCCATCTTTCCTGAACTACTTCTAGGGCCTAGACGCTTCAATCAAATGACCATTGTACTAGCCTTGTATTGGGGCTCAGAATGCCGGGTTTTAGCTTGTCCTTATATATAAATATAGGTTTTTCTAGATATAAAAAGTGRGAGAGTCTGTAAGTTGCTTTTTTTTTCTATACCCCCTTTCATGGGGCAAGCTAATGAGATGCATATCATTAAAGGCCTCATGTTTTGTGGGATGGAGCCTTTTAAACTGGATGTGCCTGGCTTAGTTATGGCAAATATTTACCAAAAAAAAAAAAAAGGGACATACCATATAAAATTAGAGTTCTGAAAATAGTACTGAGAGAGGGAGAAAGAAAAAAAAAGGGACAGAAAATACAGGCCAGTCTGTTTGGGGAAAAGGGAAAAAGAGATAAAATGAGAGAAACCTCGGCAGTAAAAACAGCATCTTGGTAAACAGACTATAAAAAAAATTGTGACCTGCTTTCTGGCAGCCCTGGTGGCTGTCAAGCGGGTGAAGGTGGTGGAGCTGGCGTCTGTGTGGACACACCGTGCCCTGGGTGCACAGCTCCCCTGGCCGCGCAGGGCGTTAAATTTAGCCACATAATGATGGGCCTGAGGAGCAGCCTCTTGTTGACCACACCATAATTACTGCTTCGCTTTATGAATTTTATTTTGCTTATTCTGTTTCCTCCTTCTTTGGCAYGAAGGAGGCCCAGAGTGGGGGGGAGTCCCGCCCCCGCCCCTTACTGGACAAATGAGTCTTCATAGAAACTTGGGTTCCTGGGCCCTCAGGGTAAAAAGTAAGCTTCCTTGATAAATCAGAGAGGGAGGAAGGTTTGCTGGTCTCCAAGGCTCTTGATGTGCTAACCCTGCTTCTCAGAGCTTTTGGAGAAAATGTTCTACAATCATTGGTCTAGGTTGAGACTCTTACTGTGTACCTCAGGAGTAAGTGTTCTGGTGTCATAGTATTTTTTTTTTTTTAATCTTTTGTCCCAAGCTCCCTAGATAACTCTTTGGAAGTTCTGTTTTGACATTCTGCATCATGAAGAGGTTCATTGTTTTATATATTTTAGTTGTGGTGATAACTAGATTTTGGAAGATAAGGATTTAATGTAATCAAGTGATTCTTTGGGTAACAGAAAAATGTAAGTTTAGAATATTCTGGTGAAACCTCAAATATTGTCCTTCTTGGGTGTTGGAATAGATGCTAATCTTGGGTTTAGTTTGCTAGAGTATACCATGGTCTTTGTCAGAGTGCTACTCTAAGGCTTAGCCTTACATACAACTTCAGAGTAGGATCCAGAAGTCCTTGGCCTCAGACCAAAAATCCATATTGGGGAGAGAATATAGGCTCGAAGAGCAGTAGAAGAGTTATATGGATAGTACTAGGTCACTGGGGGTGAAGTTTTTGAATGTGACCTAGGCTGGCAGCTACCTATGGCCCCACAGTGGCCCTCCAACTGAGGAAGTGGTGGAAAAGGAAAAGCAAACAGGGGCTGTGGTCAGGGTACTGGTTTGTCTGTCATTGGCTGAGACTGTCCTGTTTGTGTGTYAGGGGTGGTTGGGCTCCTCCCGAGGCCAGGCAAGAACGTGTCAAGGAGAAGCTTCTTGCAGCTCTTGTTTTCCCAAAACAAAGGAAGCTCCTTGCATTGCTGGAAGTCGCGTGCTTGGATGCTGAGTTTGTTACTGCCTGATAACCTGGCCGCTAACTCCTGCCCTCCTCTTCACCCCATATAGCCAGTGAAGTAGCGGGAGCAGCTTCCTGTTCCTCATCCTTAGGCAGCACATTCACTCTTCATTGAACCCAGAAGTGGGAAAAGAGAAGAGCTAGCCTACCCCAGGACCCACTGGTTTCTTTTCACATGGAAATCTTCTGAAACAGTATTTTTCAAAGTATCTGACACACGATCTTACTATGTATAACCAATGTGCAGCATGTACCATGGTGATTTACAGTATACATTTAGCAATAAAACGTTTTTGTACCTTGTTCATTGGGGTGAGTCCTCTGAACTTTGGGTGTCCTGACAATACGAGGTTACTAAGTTTTCAAATGCTTACACTCAGTTTCTATAAGTGTGTCATCATGGGCTCATTGCAAAGAGTTCATGGACCAGCACCAGTTCTT